CTATTCTTCTCTTTTTGTGAGATGACTTTTTTGCCATATCGGAGATAAGCTTCCATTGGTCTTCGCTTGCCAGCATGAGCCTTAGGAGATTATCAGGGGTAATATTTTCTCCTATTTGCACTTCTGTGGTAGTCGCTGCCATCGGAAGCATTGGAAAAAACTATGCTCTGCGTCATCAAAATCCCAGCAGTAGAGTCATTCCATTGTATCTTCCAGCTTAAATCTGTAGAAGTAGGCCTGAAAACAACCATGTCCAGTGAGTAAGATGAGCGAGGTGGTAGTTAACCTCACCATGTTTTCTGTCAATCCACAGTATTATGTTTGGTACGAGGCGTTTAGTCCACTGAGACACTTCACACATGGCCTCCAACCTATTTTGCCAACTGTTCAGCATCTTTTGTCTCACCTTCGTTTTTGCGCATTTATCTGCCGCTATTCCCATATGGTCCTTTTCTCCACCTGAAGTTCGATTGGAGCTATTCCTGCAATAACCAATACAGCCTCAGTAGACACAGTACGGAAGGCATAGCACACCCTGATAGCCATTCTTCTCAAAACATGTTGACACATGTCCCTATATTTGCGATAGCGCATAGTTCCACACCACACCTGTGCAGCGTAGAACAACATTGATATAACAATATTTGCAAGTAGTCTGCGTTTCCCAAAGAAGGCTCTCCTGTGTTCGGCATTACCCAACACAGTGATGTGATGTGACGGTCTTCTCCCCCTTTCAATTAATATATTCGACAAGTTTGGTCATTCTAGTCCGTCGGTCGAAAACAACATCAAGATATTTGATGATCTCCTTGGTACTGATTTTAATGTTTAGAACATCTATCCCAAAATGTCTAACTGCCCTTCTACCTGTGAGCAGTATTGCCTCAGTTCTCTCTGGTACCATTTCTAACCGTCTATAACAGTCTAACCGACATATCTTATACATGTAACATTTTACACATGTTAATTTCAAAATAGTATAAACGTCAAATTGGTTTTGTTCTTTTCTTCAAAATATTATGAGACATTTAATTAATTAGTTCAGTAGCCTTTTCGATCAATCATTTTTCCTAACAGGTTGTCATAACACAAAGGTGTTAATATAATAAAATATAACAAACAAAATAAAACAATTATAGGAAGAATCCATTACAAAATTACTTAACTATATCTTTGTCAATAAAGACGATAAATGCTTTTAGCAGGATCAAAAACAAATAAAACGGTGCTCTTTTTATATAAGACTCCAACTTTGAGTTTAAACGATTTTTATAGTTTGATACTGTATCATCAAGAGAAAGAGATAATATGGCAGATATTAAAAGTAATAAGAAGTCGTTTATCAATTTAAAAATGTATTTTAGAGAGTACTGTGACTATACCGGAATTCATGGTATGAAATTTATTGGAGAACGGAGATCTCTTTGCGAAAAGTGAGTACAGAAATAAAAATGTGAAATAATATATACTGCCCAGCACAAAATTCCGCCATTCTAAAAATTTGATTTAGTTTGATGTATCATAACTTTTTATTTTGTAATCCGATTTTTATGATTATGATATCAGTGTGAAGTTAAATTTATTGGCATTATTTCTTATTATTTTAATGGTTTATATTCTTCGGTTAGGTGGGCTTATACAGGGGTAAATTAAAACATTGTTTACAATAAATTCAAAACACTCTGTGGAAAAAATTGGATGGGCCATTTTGGATAAAAAAAAAACACTTTTCTGTAATCTTAGATGTATTCCTAACATTTAATTACACTTTTTAAGTAAAATATTAATTTCAGAGATTCTTTTATTGACAAAAGCAATAATTTTAATAGCGTGTATGTCCACTTCTCGCAGCAATAATCGCTCGAGGTCTTCGTCGTATATATCGAATGAATAAGGGTAGTTATTCTTTTTTGATCTATTGCTTGATGAATATCAGGCTATAGATCAAGAAAACCATTTACAAAAGCTAAGGCTAGCATTAACGGAGGAACCTGTGTAAAGTAAAGAGACTGGCACGCATCTGAAACTTCTCTGGAACAGGCATATTAAGGACATTACCAGCAAAGGCACAAAGGTTTTCCTAATGCAGAAGACTGACGGGAAATAGATGGAGCTGCGTCCTAATATTTTGGCTTGGATGTATACATGTATACCCACGATTACCTATGGAACAGTTGCTTGGTACACAAAACTAGAGCAACGTACAGAAAGGCAAAACCTGTGCAATGTACCGAGACTGGCATGCACAGGGGCATGCATCTGCATCACAGGTACTATGAGAACATACCCAACAGCAGCAATGGAGGTCATCCTAGACCTAACACCACTGCACATTGTCGTCGGTGATTATGCCAATCCGACAATGATTAGAATGGTCATTGACGGATTCAGTACTGAGAGAATTTTTGGGTCAGGGGCTCTCAAAAAGAAAATTCCAGCCCTCCAACTCCCAGTTGATGACATACCAAGAATTTACAACTTTCAGAAGTAGTATTGAGCAATAAGAAGGATTGGAAGAGAGAAACGTTTGCTCAGCACGTAAAAGACCATACCATAACGTGGTATACTGATGCTTTCAAAACCAATATGGGCCGAAAACTATTCCCTGTATCCTGTATATGTTAGACAAAATATTGGACTGAAAATCTCACATCATACACAATCTTAAATATGGAGTATTTTTGGAATAGTGAGCCACCCTGTATAATTCTGTTTTCTACACGTTAATATATTATTATTTCTATTAATCTCTAAATTTGTTTTTCAAGTTAAAAAAACAGTATGAAAACATGAAAAGAACATGATAAATTGGAAAATCAATATTCGGTCGATTACCTACGAACCGATATTCACTTTTGGGTTTGCATTCTTTTTTGTAATTGTTACAATTATTTTACAAATATTTCTTTTAAACCCACGATATTTTTTTCTGTTTAACTACAGTTTAACTTATCACTCCCAAAAGGTTTGTTATCTTAAATATGAGCAGAAAGAAACTTGTAGAAGTATAAAGTAAAAATTAATATTTTATAATAGTGTAATTCGAGAGAAATCTTGTAAGATTTAAAACTGGCCGCAATAAATTAATTTACAAGAATGTTGAAAATAACCATAAATAATTTTTTCTTACAAAATTTGTATAAATTAATTAGGTTAAAAGACTGTACTAATTTTTAGGTATTATTTAATTTGGCACAATGTCTTCAAGGTGAGCTGTATAATCTAAGATTTTTTTTAATTAGCTAGGTACAATTAATTGTGAAAGAAATAATAGTAAAAATTATTATAAATGGATAAATAATCCATAAATTAATGGATATATAAACCATGTATTATTAATTACTAATAGTTTAATATCTACTATTAATCTTACAATGTTAATCGTAGAGGAAAAATTTTAACAAATACTTATTCTTGACAAAATGGCGAAGGCCATTTTTGAAAAAGATATTAATCTTTGAATATATTCATAATTCTAAATATTTTCAATCAAAGTTATACATCTACGTTATTCGTTTTATCCTAAATCTTAATTTCTATAGCTTTATTTATATAATACAAAATGCATTTTTTATCATATATGGCAAAAAGGGCTTTTATTATTATATTTTTAAATGTTTCAATAAAAATTTGTACAGAATCAATTTAGTATGCTGATTGCTCAATAACGAAGTAAAATATTTATTCCTATATACCACGTGCTAACTGTCATGATGGCAATATATAAAAAATATTAAAAAAAATGTTTCGATGAAAGGATTCCAAAAAGATAGAAGAGAAAAATAATTTAGTAATTAACTATTTTAAATCTAAAAATTATAATTCTTTGGTCAAAAAAATCTTTCATTAGACTGACGTAAAACAAACTAAATTTAATAAAAATAATTCTTGATGCACTCCGTAATGCAGTAGGTTTTTTCTTTATATCATTTTAACTTATAACTTTTTTTTTCTTTAAATGAACTACTTTTTCAGAATAGGATAGGTCCCTACTTTATATTGTTTAAAAGCCTATAGAAAATAAAAAATTTACATTCCACATCTTTCTATTTTTTTCTTTTCTTAATAATTTGAACATTTTTCTAAAATCTGTGTTAGAGTTGAAAGTTTTTCCTTTCTATAGAGATTTGCAAGTTTCACTACTTAAAAACTGTCATTTTACTATTTTAGGGTTTATAATCCTTAATCACTGCGACCTTACAGATCTATTGTGTGTTCCCCTTTCTTGAGTTATAGCGGGTTATAACTCATTATATAGTCTCAGAGCTTTGACAAAAGTCAGTATCTGAGACGGCTCCACAGAGGCCAGCTCTCGATCCTCGACATCAGCCGTACCAAAGTTCATGGCACGAACGGTCGTCGTTTCGGCGCACTCAGTGATAACGTGTTCTGGTGTTTCCCCATTTTCTCCACAGCCGTTATTCCTCAGCTTCCATCTACTGAGGTGTTCGTTGAAGAGACAGTGTCGTTTTAGAAACCCCGTGACAATCCAAAGATTGTTCTTAATTAAATCAATCTTTGATTTTTCTCGGTTGTAAATTCTGAGGAACTTTTTCGAGTGTCTTAGACTGTTGGAGGATTCCCATTCCAGGTTACGGATCCAGTCCTCCAGGTTCTTTAGTTCTGCTTTAGCTGGTTTCCGCTTGGAAAACAGAACTTTACTTATTCTAATGAAAGTATAGAAGTTATATGCAAATCTATGCAAAATGGCATAGAGTTGTATTTTATTGATTTCAAATTTTAATTCTTGCATTACTACTATTCGATATCTTTTCTCATCGAGCCACATTTTTTGCATGTTTAAAGGGCAATCAAATCTAGATATATTTTCAAATTGATAAAATATCACACAGATACTTTCAAATCAATAATATAAACTACTTAATAATTATATCACACCAGTGACTAGAAACAACTTTTGTCCTCTACCTCCTTCACCATTTCATCAATAATTCAAAACTGAAGTTTGCGGGAATGACCGCTTTTTGTATCAATAGAAGATGACTGAGAACGTTCCAGCTCCAGCGTCATCTCGAAAATGGAGAACATGCTTCAACCCTTGTACTTTGTACAGAGTTAGTCCGCACTATGGAGGGTAGGGGTACATCTGCCCTCCATAGACCGCACCAAGGATTCTCATTGAACCCTATTAATGTTACTTATCTAGATGATCTGAATTTTCAACTCTGAAAATTTTCTCAAACCTATCCTGATCTTGCTGGCGACGTAGTTTTTCTGCTTCCTTTTCTTTCATTAGTCTATTTCACTCTACTTCTGTCTCTTTTCGCCCTTTATCTTATTTTTCGACTTTCTCTGTTCGCATATTTTCCATAAATTCGCCCAAAATCGTATTCATTTCATACATTTTTCTAACTTGCTATCTCGTCTATACCATAAAAATTGTCTAATATTGGCAAACATAGCTCCGAAAACACCTAATTTCTTTTTAAAATTTTTAAAATCCTCTTAAATCCCTTCTGATACCAATTGTTAGGGATGCCTTGGGTTCTTCGTTTATACACAATAAAATACTATAGATAATTTAAAACACGACTTAGACCCGTGTTTATGTCGATTCTTAAAACGCGACTCCAGGCACGAGATGCAAAAACCGACAAAAATAACTGGCTTACTAATCTATACCAATATATAAAATCCTTAAGTGACTGACATACTGATTAATCACGATCCTGCTCAAACCACTCAACGTAAGAAGCTCAATTTTGGCATACAGGTTGATTCTAGGGTGTAGAGGTTCGATAAGAAGGGATTTTTCGAAATCCCAATTCCAAGAGGGTGAAACCACCCCTCAAATATTACAATATTTTTTATTTAAAAAACGGTCAAGTTTCCGAAAAAACGCTTGAACACGTATATTTTATTTTGTTTTTTTTTAAATTTTAAGATTTTTTAAAAATGTATACAGGGTGTTTCGAAAAATCTGGTCATTGATTAATCACGATCCTGCTTAAAGCGCTTGACGTAAAAAGCTGATTTTTGGAAAACAGATTGACTTTAGGGTGTAGAGGTTCGATAAGAAGGGATTTTTCGAAACTCGAATTCTAAGGGGGTGGAACTATCCCTCAAATATTAAAATATTTTTTATTTAAAAACCGGTAAGTTTTTCGGAAAAACTCTTAAACATGTATATTTTATTTTGTTGTTTTACATATTTCAAGATTTTTATAAATTTATACAGGGTGTTTCATAAAATATGACCATTGAGTAATCACGATTCTGCTTAAACTGCTTGACGTTTAAAGCTGATTTTTGGCAAACGGATTGACTGTGGGGTGTAGAGGTTCGATAAGGAGGGGTTTCTCGAACCTCAAATTCCAAGAGGGGGAAAACGCCCCTCAAATATTACAATATTTGTTATTTAAAAAACGGTTAGTTTTTCGGGAAAACGCTTGGACAAGCATAATTTATTTGGTTTTTTTACATATTTTGAAATTTTTTAAAAAATCCAAAAAGTGTTCCAAAAAGTTGGGTAATATCTTAACCACGATTCTGCTTAAACTGCTTGACGTAAAAAGCTTATTTTTGACAAACGGTTTTTTCGAAAGTCAAATTCCAACGAGATGAAACTACCACTCAAATATTACCAAGTGATATAATAATATCGCCATATTGTTTTTTCTCATGGTGACATAAATGTGAGAAAATTTTATCCAGTTTGTATGTTAATGGAAATTCTTGCTTTGCTTTATCATCACCATTACAAATGATTAATTCGACGCGAACGAAGTCGCTGGTACACGCTAGTAAGGTATAATATAATAACAGGTATACGCGCGCCTAGTAAGCCTGTTATTTTTTCGGTTTTTTGGAGACAGACTTGGAGACCCAGTTCGAGACGCGACTATAAATACGGGCCTTAAACAACAATATTATAAATTACTTAGTTATACAGGGTCCGGTAGTAGTGCGGTGGGCAATCTGTAGCTGCTAGAATAAAAAACTTGGGAATTTTGTTTATGTGCAAACTTAAAGTATGCACTAGGATTTATTTCAGGAAAATATTTTAACTTCTATAGGGTGGCTCAAAAAAGTGTGGGTGGATCGGGATAATTTTTTTAATAATAACACTCTGTGTGTTATTGAATTTTTGGCTTCCTTTCAGATCACTTTACATAATCCTAAGATATGAGCGAGGATATGAGTAACTATATTTCAATAGTTAAAAAAAGTTATATTTACAGAGGGATTAATGTAGAATAACAAATAATGAAAGACGAGGTAAAATGTAATGTAAGTAATTGAAATTCTTATTTGTAGGATAATATGGATTATAATGTTTTGTGCAAGTTTGGTAACATGCATAACTGTAGTTTATGAGGTTTTCAAAAAGTGGCAAAAAAGTCCAATAATCGTAAATTTCGCAAGCCACGAAGTTAACATTTTTGACATCACATTTCCTGCCGTAACAATTTGCCCGGAAACAAAAGTGTTTAGTGATCATTTTAATTATTCATACAATCTAAGAAGAAGCTTGAATGAAAATATGTCAAAAGATGAGTAAGTCAAATCATCTAACAAATATATAGTAAATTCTGAACAACTTTATTTCAAACTTCAAACTAAAAGAATTTCGGACTTTGATTGTCTTTATTTTATTTACACAATTTTCAGTCAGAAGTATCACTGCCTTTTTTATTTATTCCTTCTCAATCACCTCAACTTATTAACTAGCTTGATAAGATGATTACAGTGGAGGGTTGGAACCTTTGGTGTTACACAGCAAAATAAAACACTAAATCACCATAATACACCAAAACACTTTCACTTTTACACTGGACGCGCGTTTCGCTAACCATGTTAGCATCATCAGCAGATGATTATAAACTCAAAGTTTTAACTGACTAAAGTAAATACCTAATATACGCGTAACAGTTTAACATTATATAAACGTTGAGACCGAGATTTTGAGTCTTTTTTCTACTTTTTAATTTAAACCAGGTCTCTTTGAGAAGAATGAACGCTTTCTTTAAATTTCACTCTATAGAAGTTAAAATATTTTCCTGAAATTCATCCTGGTACGTAATTTAGATTCTAGGAGCTACAAATGTCCGACGCACTATTGCCGGACCCTGTATAAGCTCGGTAGTTTTAGGATTTAGATGTCCATACTTGATAACGGTGAGTGATATTTCTGACCGAAACGTTGTGTAAATAAACTAAATAAAAACAATGAAAGTCTGAAATTTTTTAGTTTTAATACTGAATCATTGTCTACCACGTTCAAAAAAAGCTTTATTTCAGTTTGAAAAAATTGCAATATATGTCGCTGCTGTGCAACGTCAATGAATATTTTCATAAGGTCTCTAAAATCAGGAATATAGATGAGGAGTTCTTTCATTTCTTAAAAAATGTAAGCTTTATGACTAAGAATAAAGAAACACACAAACAAATTATTGTCAAAAACTAATTATGTTATAGGGATCACCGAGTTTTTTAACAAAATGTCTTTGGATGGGTCAGGATGCGAGTTGCAATGAAATATTCCAACCGCTTTACACTGATGAAGGACTTTGCTTAACTTTTAATATGTTAAGCAAAAGAGAAATGTATACTAAAGCAGTGTAATCAAATATATCAGTGGTGTAAATGTTATAAATAAATTTTATAATTTGTTTAGGGAAAATATCGACTATCCTCCAAGTACTTACAAAGATAGACTAGTTGAGCATTGGTCAACCGATCATGGCTATACCGACGATGCGGGAATTGATACGTACCCAAGAAGAGCTTTAGTATCTGGTTCTACTAATTCGTTGGAAGTTAATTTTGCTGTTAACAATACCGATTTAGATTATGGATGCACTCACTTCCAAGGATATAAGGTAATTCGTTTTAAGTTTATTCATAAAGTTTTTACTTTTCGCGATGAATTGGAGTCAACATCATATCCCTGGGCATACGAGGCCATTATCGACTCAGAAATTCAGCACAGAATTAGCAGCGCCTGAAGAGCATTCTGGAAATTCTACAATCATGACTTGAGCACAAAAACGAAACTTGCAGTGTACCGAGCAATAATAATCCCCACTATGTTATATGGAAGCGAAACCTGGGTGCCATGCCGTACCGCCGACACATGAACGCATTAAACAAGTTGCAACAGAGACACCTAAGACAACTCTTAAGAATAAAATGTTTCCACCATGTCTCAAACGTATCGGTCCTTGAAAAACCTGACTGCGAGAGTGTTGAAGTCATGATTACAAAATCCCGCTTAAGATGGGCTGGTCACGTATGCAAAATGCAAGAAAACCGCCTACCAAAATGACTGCTTTAAGGTGGGCTTGTAGACGGTAAGAGGAAACCGGGTGGACAACTCAAAAGGTACAAGGATATTTTTCACAAAAACTTAAACATGCAAAATGAGTGGGAAGAAGCAGCGCACAATAGAACGCAATGGAGAAGAATTGTAAACTCAATTAACAACGACAGCCAAAAAGTAAAGAGGCAACAAAGCAATGAAATGTTTTAATGTCCGGAGTGCGGAAGAGAGATAAGATCACGTATCGGGCTTTTGAGTCGTAGAAAAGTTCATGAAAGAAAGCGTCTTGCATAACCATCTTCTGATGCGTGTCAAATACTCGTCAGCAGTATGTATTTGAAGCCAGTGGTTTTTATATTTTTTGTAATATTTCTTCAAGCTTAAAGATTAAAGAAACTCTTGAGTTTCTTCAAATTATTTTTTTGTATATATTATTATTTTAGGTGGTTCTCCATAGTCCTCATAGATTTCCGACAGTTCACAGCCACTATTTCAGAATACCTTTAAAGAAGTCCGTAAGTGCTGCTATAACACCGTCAGTCTTAAGCACGTCAAGAGATGTAGCCGATTACAACGTTAAGAAAAGAAAATGCTTTTTTCAAACTGATATGAAGTTAAAATTCTTTTCGAATTATTCGCAGATTAACTGTAAACTGGAGTGTCTTATAGATTTGACTATAGAGATTTGCGGATGTGTACAGTATTTTATGCCCCGTAAGTATATTGTCGATACTCCTATATGAACAATACACGGTCAAGTTTATTTGTAAATATGGTTTCAAATTGAAATGTCTATGAATTATTGTTATTACATTGATAGGATAGATAATAAAATCAGATAACATCAAATCGATTAATTTTAGTTTTCTAATTTTTCTATTGGATAGTTACAGGTAATTACTATCAATAGATATTTTTGCTCTGATCACTGCTTGTTGCAAAGCCTGTTTAGGACTTTTATATCCCTAACGATCTTAATAGAAAAAATTATCCTAAATGACTGGAAGGAATCCATAACCATCATCCTATATAAAAAAGGTGATAGGGCAGTAATTTATAAGCTCTTTACGAAAATATTAACCGGAATTTGACGGATACCAAGCAAAAGAACAAGCAGGCTTCAGAAAGGGCTACTGTACAGGGTGGGTCAAATTCGACGCTTTTAAATGGAAACACCCTTTTCTATAGGAGATAGACAAAAACTAATATCGGTGTCTGGAGCTCAACTTTTGTCTAAAACATGATGGTGAAAACCGCATATCGATATCTGTTACCGTTTCGGAGTTACGGGGTGTTTTTTAAAAATATGCATTTTTAACAAATCGCTGTAACTTTTTTGCTATGAAAAATTTTGTATTTTTATGAAAACATTTCCAAAGCACCTTTTTACATACAATTTAATGGTTTAAGTATAATTTTTTTAATATTAATAATTTAAGAATTATCAACAGAAAATTTGATTTTTTATATGGGACACCCTGTATATTTTTAATTTATTGAAAATAATTTAAAATTACCTTTCCAAAAATATAACTCACTTGATATTTGGCTCGATTCCTCTTCGAGATATAGAGTAGGGGAGACTAGGGAGGGATGATACGTTTTTTACAAAAATGTTAATTAAAGTTTTCTTAATACCATTTACTAATAAATTTATATCAGAGCGCAATTTAAAGGCTTTGCTTAGGAATTTGATAATATTACATTGTTAAAAATTGACGTTTTAACCATGGTTATAAATTTTTGAAATTCTCAATGCAAAGTGTCTCAAACCTCCCTATATATGGGCGACTTGATACACTAAATGGGAGGCTTGATACAATAAAAAAAAAATAGGAACGCAATCTTTTATTATTAAAACATGCAACATTAAAACATACAACATTAATTTCTAATCGATACATAATTCGCAAGTGAAGGTTTTTATGTTATTGTTCACGCCTGCACAGGCTGAATGGCACCATTTTAAGCATTGCTGGCAACGAATCCACTTTTTCTCGAGAACGAGATGCCGAAAATAACGAATTGCAGTAGATGCAGGCGGCGTCGTCATCGTCAGCTGTATCAGAAAATGGATCTTTCTCGTTTTCACTCCCAGAATTCGAGTCAACGTACACACTTCTTTCCGTTTCTCTGTTTCTATCCAAAACTTTTCTTTTCGGGTAGGATTCACTACACTCCACATTGTGTTGTTGAAAAGTATCACTTTTTCTAGTTTCACTAGATATTTTCGTTTCACCTGTTTTATTTTCGTTTTCATCCGTTTTTTTCTTCCCTCGAATTAAATTCGGCTTCAATGGCCTGTTTTTCCGGAGTGTCGGTTAAGATTCTAGTCCGACCAAGCTTTCGGCCCCCTTTTTTCTTTCGAGGCAGTGCTTTGGGATATGGACGAACTTCTTCAGGACTTTTAAATGGAGCAGAGGGGGTGCTTTGGATGGTGGTGGTATTTTCCATTGTATTAAAAGTTGGCTCCAGCTGAGATGAGGATGTGCCAGGTTGAGCAATTGGATCATCTATAACCGGCTCTTCCTCAGGGTTTTGTCCTACTTCCTGATATGGTCGATTTGTAACTTCCGCTCCTGCAAAATCTAGATCTTCAAATAAATGTGGGTTGAATGGATAAATTCCAGTAGTGGAAAATCCTTTGGTTATATTTGAAGTGAGAAAGCTCTGACATAAGCTAGTCCAACCAATGCCGGTATATTTTTTAATGAAATTGTTTGCCCTGGATGACTGACCATCCAAGCATCTGCCTGTTCATTATAGTATTTCTTAAATGGGCCAAATACCGATACGTCTAGTGGTTGTAATCGGTGGCTTGTGTGAGGTGGTAAAGTTAACAAATGTATTCCGTTTAACTTACAAGTGTTTAAAGCTTTGGGTGAAATATGGCTGTCGTGATTGTCAAGGACCAATATACATTTATTTTCTTTTGAACATTTTGCATATTTTATGAAGTGATCTAAGTATTTCACGAAATTATCAGCGGTCATCCAACCACTTTCGTGCGTTACAGCAATGGAACCTGGAGGAGCACCATGTATCATGTATTCCTGCAATCTAATACGGGGAAATATAAAAAATGGTGGCACTGAATTCCCCAATGCATTTATTGCACAACACACCGTCACCAGTGTCCCACGTTCTGCAGATATAGTTTTAGAAATTTGTTTTTGCCCTTTACGAGCAATAATCTTTTCGGGTTTGTGCGCAGTAGTGACTCCAGTTTCGTCTAAGTTGTATATGGATTCTGGGCCAAAAGGTTCTCGCTCCATTAGATTGCGCAGATTCTTGTAAAATTCTTGCACGTTATGCCGATTGAACGCAGTCGCTCTGCCTAAGCTGGTACCCTCAGGACTTCTCAGCGATAATTGGGGATGACGTGACATGAAACCTTTTAGCCAGTCGTAAGAAGCACACTCGTTTTTCCTCCAATTTTCTGGTATCTTTTTTGGTTTTCTTGGCCAAACTGATACGCAAATTTCCTTGTTTGCTTAGGCGTAAGACCATAGTACAGGTCTGCAGAAGTGAGCAAATATTCCATTAAAAGAGATTCTTCGTGAGGCGAAAAAATTTGTGAAGTTACAAAATTTGGGAAAAAGGTATACTTTTATCCTCTTTATATTTTGAAATATATCTTTTCAATGTCATTTTGTCAACATTGTACATCCTGGCAGTAGTTCTAAGTGCTTTATTTTCATTCACTATTTCAAGCACTGCCCTTTTTAAATCATCTGGTGAATACTTCGTTCGACCTTTGGATTTCCATTTAAACGGCATCTATAACAATGTTATCCAATTAACCTTGTAATTGCCGTAAGGATTTCATAATTTGTTATAAATTATAAAATTAATAAATACGACAGACATATATTCAATTGTAAAATTAATAAATACAACATAGGGGAGGTTTCATACATGTATCAATCCTCCCCACACAAAGTGTATCAAACCTCCCGGGACGACAAATTTATGAAATATGTGACGTAAACGTATGATGGCACTCGACTAAAATTCTATACTACTCGCCCCTATGCTCTAAATGAAATGCGCTTCAAGTAAAGTTTATTGAATTTTGTTAGTTTTTGTCGTTAGATTGATGATACCTTACGTTTATTATGTAAAAACTTACATTGAATAGGTAGAAAACACACTTTAACTTTGAAAACTTTTAAACGACAAGCGAACTTTGCGATATCGTATCACAGACTGTTTCGATGTTCACGCTTGGCACTGCACGTGGTTATCCCTTCTCTAAAGACTCGAGGTGGGAAATTTGAACGTGTATCAAGCCCCACGTATCAAACCTCCCTAGTTTCCCCTATATAAAAATTCACCCGCTTTAAATAAGTAGGCTTTGAATGGCACCGGCTGTAATGCAAAAAAATTCTAGCTGTGAACATCAATTAAAACGAAAATAATATTTGCTATGAGAGATGCAGAATTTTATAACAATTTAAAATATATTTAACCAACATCAACACATTTAAACTATATCTAATAACAATAAAAATAAATGGCAAACCAAGACATGAGATTTTGCTACAAGTGTTCGACATATAGACCGTCTTCTGTTACGGACAGACGGGGCAGTTTTTGAACATTTCTCGCGGAATTGTGGGGGTGAAAGATACCCTCTCATAACTGCTAAGTATTTATAATTCTTGTCTAGATTATACGGAAGAATAAGGAACCTTTATTCTTCCGCAAATATATCCATAGGATTAGATCCATGGGCACTATGTCAGGCGGCCTCGACGGCCAATGGCTGGGATCTTGGTATTCAATTATTCTTGAAATTGGCTGCAAAAATTTGCTGGTAACTTAAGCGTTCAGAGGCGGTGCGTCGACGTCGTCTTGCTGGAAAAATATGTTTTCGAGTTCCATTAAGGGCATATCATCAATAAGGGGTCCAAAGCCTACTAGTTAAAAGCGACGAACTTTTAAAAATTCTGTATTTCGAAGGGGATTATAACAAAATATCAAGTGTGCTATATTTTTGGAAATGTAATTTTAAATTCTTTTCAGTTAATTAAAAATATAAATGGTGTCCCAAATAAAAAATCAATTTTTCGGTTGATAACTCTTAAATTATTAATTTTAAAAAAATTATACTTAAACCATTAAATTCTACATAAAATGGTGCTTTGGAAATGTTTTCATAGAAATACAAAATTTTCCATAGCAAAAAAGTTACAGCGATTTGTTAAAAATGCACATTTTTAACAAAACACCCCGTAACTCCGAAACGGTAACAGATATTGATGTGTGGTTGTCACCATCATGTTTTTGATGAAAATTGAGCTCCAGACACCGATATTAGTTTTCGTCTATCTCCTATAGAAAAGGGTGTTTCCATTTAAAAGCGTCGAATTTGACCCACCCTGTACAGCTGACAACTTATTAACTATGAAAATACTAATAGAACCAGCCAATGCATACAACATCCCAATATATATTGCATTTGTAGATTTTGAAAAAGCTTTTGATCGTATTGAGCACTGGGCAGAAAAAACTTCCGTAATAAATAGCAGGTTAGACTACAGATACGCAGACTTAATAGCCAACACGAGAGCCAACATATATAGCGAAACCACAACAACAATTAAAATCCACAAAGGAACAAAGCCAATTCGCATAGGAAGAGGTGTCAGACAGGGTGACACAATATCCCCTAAACTCTTTAACCAGGCATCAGAAGAAATTTTCAAAAA